CAAAATTAGTACGTTCTCATAAACAGTAACCGCGACGAAATTCAATTTTCACCAACGTTGCACAAAACTATGTACTTTACTATAATAGTCGAGGGGCTCATGGTCTAAATAAAATATCAACCAATTAGTAATGTGAAATTGTTGTATAAATTCATTTAATTATTAACATAAATTATTTAAAAAAAGTACATAGATGACCTAAACTTAACTTGCATAGGTGAAACCAGTCAAAACTTGCACAAAAGGATATCACAACACAACAATATTAAAAACAAAAACCAATATAAAACTATGCTCGCAGAACACATCAATGACCTCAAACATATAGCATCGATATTCTTAATACCACGATCGTACATTTCAAAAGTAACTTAACTTATTGCAAAGATTTGGCTATATATATATATATATATATATATATATATATATATATATGTATGTATAGTTTTATTTTTTGTAATTATTAATTTTATTTATTTTCAACGATTCATTTTGGTATTTTGGAAAATTATAACTTGTACATTTGGGGCCGTTCAAGTATTACGTAAGCACTATAGGGGGGGCGGGGGGTTGTTGATTTGCTTATTTTGGGTTGACATGTGGGGCAGGGGAATCTGGATGATGATTACGTCATAGGTAGTATTTTTATTTTTTTACATTAATTGCAAAATGTTTACGTAAGCATCGGGGTATGGGGTAAGAGCTTTGCTTACTTTTGCTGACAAGGGAAATGGGGTGGTAAATAATTGTAATAAATCTGCTTACGTAATACTTGAACGATCCCTTTCGCAGTGCATTCCAATACTTTTAATTGTTACCATTAGCATTTGTTATACCAAAACTACTACAAAAAGGGTATCAGACCTCTGTCTATTACTATCACGGGATAAATTTCATCGTGGGGCGGCGAACGGCACGCAAGATTTATTTTCAATTCCGTGGCGCCGTTCGTTCGTCTGTCTGTCTGTCTGTCTGCCCGCGACAAAATATGGCCATCGCCATCGCCCTCGCCGAGATTTCGATTGTTATTGTCCTGCGATACGCATTGTGTTCCAAACAATGTTAGGCTTACACAGATTCATTGGCGTATTCTTAACAAATTAACACTTCTCCTCGAAAAAGGATACTTCAGACAGGATCCTCCAGGAATTTTGTTAATTGAAGCCTGTGATATATTTATTGCTTTACTTGTTTTATTGTCTGAATATATAAAATCGCGTAATGAAATTGTAATATTGATTAATTGCTGCTTGTTTAATGGTGTAATAAAACGTTGTTTTGTAGATACAATTTATATATGCGTTGTAAGAATCTTGTGGAAATTTTTGATAAACGCAGTGGACTGTAAAATATTATACTTCACAAAAATCGTATAAATTTCAATTCATTTACCCTATGAAGATATTAATGATAAATTTTGAATCAAATTGGATTATTCAAAAAGCATTCGGATCCTATTGATATGGAGACGAGGTGATTAGTTTATGGCAAAGACAAGTCCGGCCATTTAAAAGATATGGAGCAAAAAGAGCAAAAAATGGCAATTCAGTTTTGGATATAACGGAGCATCCGATTTGAATGATTCAAAAAACGTTTCACTTATATTGACGGCGTGAAAATTTGATTGTAATTTGTCAAAAAAGGTCTAGCAGTTTTGGAGTTCCTAAAAAAGCAGTTTAAAAAAATATTTGGAGGTCAAAAATGTTCGTTAGACAAATGCTCATCAAATTATCATATTTTATAGAGTTTCTAATAATAAGTACAAATTTTATTTGCAACATTTTTGTGGTTTTCGTACATGGATTTATAATAATCAACCCTTGCAAAAAGCTTGAGATCGCTTTGAAAAAAAAAATTCCAATTTTCAAAAATGTTAAAAAAAGTTCAAATTTTCAAGAAGCTCACAATTCTCATTGATTCAAATTTAAAAAAATGTATATCTTTAAATATTCTAAATTACAGTAAGTTTCAGCAATTTGCTTAAAAGCACGATGTCATGCACCACTAGTTTAACATTTTCTTATGTAATATCATAGGAAAATTTTACTGCGATAATACTAGAAAAAACTTCAAGTTTATCAAATCGTAAAATTGTATAAAACTGTGTGAAATTATACCACATGAAAAAAAAACATGAGTTGTGCTCACTATTGTGCATCCTGACCTAATATCATCTACTTTTTTGGTGTGTAGACCATGTATATTCGATATGTATATATATATACAATAGTATTGTCATATATATGTTGCAGCAATATCTTGCAGCTGATTATCAATTGAGATTATAATTGAGATCTATATAACGTCAATTGCAAATTTGATATCATACTACTCGATATCGAGCTGACCAAGGTTAAGATCGAATGCGGTACTAGTTTGTGCATAGTAAATATTACCATATGGATCGAAAAATTTAATTTTTTCTCTGCATCCTTATCAGGGCAAACGATCACTACTTTCTATTCTGTATCCAGCTAGTGCGCATAAAAACAAAGAGTTCTATGTAAATTCATGCAAAGTGGTACATGTGTAAAACTGTAGCAGAAATATGGTAATGGAGTGGAAGGACAGATTTCTTAGCATTTGTCGCGGGTCGAGCGTCTTTTTATATTTTTACATTGTTTGCACTTTTTGTATGTTCACACATGTGTGGGTCGGCTTATTTTTTTATTTCTTATTTATTTGTTTGTTGTGTATATGGTTCGATGTGGGGGTGTGGGGTGCGAATCAGAAATGTGCGGGGTGAAAGAGAGTTGTTTCGCAGAGGAATACATAAGTTACGGCGCTCGCAAAGGTCTTATTGGATTTCGCTATAAATTGGAAGTATGCCATACCAAGGCGCGCTGCTGCTCTGTTCGCTCGGGAAAATTAAGGACGATCATGTTGTGCATTTGGGAAGGAAATAATCAAATTTCTAACAAGGATTTAAGGCCGTTCGTTATTTTCTTTTGTTGATATGATTGTTTTTATTAAGATCTGTTTGGGAAATGTAAATGTATCGAAGAATATAGATTGATCTGTTTTACATAACTTTATTACGATTAAAAATCCTAATTTATAGCTACTACAATGATTTAACTAATTAGTCAATTTTAAATTTCAAAATTATAAAACTTGTTGTTACACTAAGTGTATTTTTTTAAATTGCATTTATTTCTTTGAAATTCAGTTAAAATTTTCAAAATTATTCAATAAATTAACTCTCCGTATATTTATACTTTTCTTAATATAGTACTTCAATTTTACATTTTTATTATAGTTAATATTATCAAAATTGTTCCACATATTAATGATTTGGAATGGCATATAACATTAAACTCTTTTTAACATGTTTAATTGTTTGAACTTTTAGTAATTACTATTATGCATTAATATTTCAAAATTTTTATTAAATATTATTGAGATTTAGATAAAATTTATTAAATTTTTACACAAACTAAAGTATATTTTCTGAATTTTCTTGGAATTTTACGACAAATTATAGATATGTATTAACACTTACATATTCGGTAATATTTCAAAAATGATTTAATTTTTGTTATTTATTTAAAAAAATTGAAGTTTTTTGTATAAATTAACGAGCTGAATATACGGTTTCAACGATATGCACTTATATATATGCGTAGTGAAACATCTTTATTTAATTAAATTTTCAGAATATTGTCAATAACTATCTATATTATTATCATGTTTTAGTAAAATTCCATGAATTCACCAATAAAACAACTATTTGAAATTATTTTCTTCACCTGCAATAGCATTTATCATTTTTAACAGATTAACTAAATGCGGCATTTACATAACACTCTTCTTTGCCTTAATATTTTGGAAAGAATTTTTTTTGAGAATGATTTAATTTATTTAGAACTAGCCGGCCCAACAGACT